ATACTGAATGTCATAAGCAATGGGTGCATAAATCAGTGTAATATTTTTTGCAATGAAATAAAGACCAGGTGGTATTCCCTATCCTTAGTTCCCAGTGCCATGTTTAGCTTGTACTTTGAGTATAGGCCTTGCACCTTTAAACAATTTCTAGAACTGCCGCCAAGTGTTAGGTGCTTTTCACATACCTTAATTATTCTCTTTGCATTTTGCCATGAAATGAATTTGAAATGACATTATTAGCCACACCCATGAAACAAAAATAAATGATTTGCGTGTTGCAAACATTGCAAGGAAATATTCTCTCAATATCATATGCTGTGCAATGGAATGCTCTAAATTGTACATTATGAATTAATGTCTTACTGTAAGGCTTCAATTTACAATGCTCTTCTATTAAGATAATCAACATTATGCTTTTGTTCCCATCATAAAGGATTGATGTTACTCCAAAGTATTTGAGGTTAGGGCATAACTATGTCAGAAGAAATTTATAACTTCCTCCAAATAAAGATGAAGATATAGATACCATGAATATCTTGCAAAGGAAACATAACTATGGTAATCAGAACATTCACTGCGTCCAAGGGTTCTCATTAAGTAAAATAGTGGTCATACAAACTCCATTAACCCATGTGTAATAATAACTTGAAGCTGAAGGACAACAATGTATCAAACTGTTGAATGTTGCTACATTTGTCTATTTTATAGTAAAAGAAGTCTGCATGAAGTTTTCTACAACTCTGTGCTCTTTTACATCCTTCAAAAAAAGTCAGCAGTGCGTTACCCTCGTGATGATTCAATTCAGCAAATCCATGCAAACAGGATATTTATTTAAAAGTAATTAATCTGCCAAATGAGAAAGTTTCCTAAAGACAGACTTGTTCATACCTGCACTTTCAGCTCTCCTGACAATTGCCATGTTTTTTTTTCTCGCTAATTTTCTCCCTTACCCTTTTCTGAAAATACAGTACAGTATTTGGCTCCTTTCTCATTTTACTGGGAAGCAATACCATGGGTGTTGGTTGCCTTCTGCTACCTTGCACAAGCAATCCATTCATTTGTGATCCTTGACCTTAAGTGCAGGCAGCCTGTTTGACTGGGGGGGCTGGGGTGGGGGTTAGAATCACAACCATACCCAGTGTACACCATGCCAAGAGGGGACTCCAGATGGTGATCTAGATTTGGAACACTGGCTGATTTTATTATTATATTGTGATATAATATATATATAATATATATAACGCTGGCTGCTTTTACTAACACAAACCCAGGAACATTGAGGCCAACTGTAGTATCCTAACTACTGCCCCCCATTGAGATCAGCTATTGCAGCACAATCTTCCTGTCTGTATGGCCTCCTGTTCCACTGGACCTTCACTGGAATTAATGTTTGGTTTAGCTTACAAAAATACATCAATGACAGATCCTACTTTGGGCCTATTTACCAACTTGTCTATCAATAATGACTATCAGAGAAAATTACACTATTTCTGGCAGCTGAACTGGAAGAGGGATAGCAACATTAGGTTGCATACATGACCACATCACAGGATTTGTGACATACATGTTACATGATAACACTACATGTTGCAGACATCTAGTTTTTGGGATGGGGCAAAATAAAGGAAGCTCAAAAGTGAAGTCAACTGTCAATCAGGCAATGCTCTCAGGCTCTTAACTTTATATTCCTTTGGCTCTAATTCTGTGTAGGTTCAAGCATGGAACATGCAATGTAAGCACTGTGAAATGTTATCATACGTGATGACGTTATAATAAACATAACCACACTGTGTACATTATATAGTGGTGCCATACATTGTCTCTCCTCTGCAGTTCTGTGTCTCCTCTGCAAGAAGCAGAGACAGAACTGGATAACACAGTAAGATAACTGGTGCAGTGACTCCATAGTCCATGCTTGGCCAAGGAGGAGCAAAACAAATGACATGGTATATCCGATCAAGTTCAATTTTGAGACTGGTTTGAAGACAGGGGCAGAGTTCAAATGATAATCACTATGATTGTACAGGCATCTGCCAGCCACTGGCAATGGTCAAATCAAAAACTGGTGAGAGCATCACGATTTTATTGTTTGGTACAAACTTGCCCTGGTTATTGCTCAATCACAGTCTGATAATCTTGTTGCAAACTTGGCATCCAGTCTTGGTTAATTTTGAAGGGGAGGAGGGTGTTTTTAAAAATCTCCTGCTGGAACACTTACAGTACAGGTTCACACAGCGATTGATCATTTGAGTAGTGTACAAGTGCAGTCTGTGGAACAGAGCTCCAGTCTGAGTCAATGGCTTTGGGAAAGGAAGGTGATAATTGACATTTATTAAACCTAAACAATGATTCATTACATTACAACAATGCGCCGAGCCGTGTGCATGCCTGTGACTTGCAGTGAACTTGCTTCTGTCCTGCCGCAAGCTGTTTTAACAAGCTGGACATTGACTATTTCAATTAGATGTGACATGACTGTATTGGGGCCCACTCACTGGCAGCGATTGTCGAAATAAAAGCGTTTATACGAGTTGCAAAAGTGAAAGAGTCAAACGGCAGTTGTGCTTTTGTGCCAAACGGTTTCATTTATTCATTTGGCCTAAATGGATGCCTGTTAGCCATCTGAATAATTATAAAAGCCCCTTATTTTAAAGTCCACAATTGAAGGGTGTAATTTATTTCATTCTCTGGGGTTGTAGCATAATTTGGGAGGGGGTGTCAGAAAGGGGCTTAGTGTGGCCTGACTGAACACAAGTCTCTGCACCTATTCAGCAGCCATTCATTCCCCACACGTGTAATAAGTCAAATATGCAATGGTTAGTCATTTCCAATAGAAGTCATTGCAGCAATGCTTCAAGACAGGAAAAAGTGGGCGTTGTAAAAGTGAGTCAATAAAACAGTCAGCGCTGCGCGTCAACAGCAGCGCTTTGCATAAACTGGTGAATTCATCAGAGCTGAGTCTGTGAGCGCAGTGTTTATTATTCACTCCGCTCTGCCAACCGTGGGCTTTGACTTAACTCTCTGCAGCTCACAGTTTGGAAATCCAACGGCATCGGGGGGCACGCAATTCAAAGCGTCAATCCTTTCGGTGGGAAGGTCTCACCCTCGACAACCTCTGAATTGTGCTCCTGCCCGTGACTGCAGAGACCCTGATCTAACCCGTACCTGTACCTGTGCGGCCCTTTTCTGTTGATATTGAGTTGATTCCCACCAGTTTTTGTTCTGTTTGCCTTCGTGTACCCATGCGATCTCCTTGTGTGCATTCACCTGCCCTGCCCTGCCCTGCCCTGCCCTGCCTGCCCTGCCTTGCCCTGCCTGCCCCGCCTGGGAGCTGCTGTGTGTGTGTGTGTGTGTGTGAGTGTGAGTGTGTGTCTGTCTGACTCCTGGTTTGGGAGCAATTCATGGGAAGCTCAGCACATCAGCGGGTTGTCCTCACTTTCCCATGTCCGCCCCTGCGATGCCAGTTGCCGGTGACCCCTCTCCTGAAGGTTCAGTTAGAAATGGGAATCAATTAACGATCTTATCTCTTTCCTCTCCCCCTCCCTCCTGAACTGATTCCCACAGACAAGTCTGGGCTCAAACCCACTGCAGAGCTCTTCCTGCCTTTGGCACACTCTGAAGCTGGAGGCGAGTCTCCTGCATCAAAGCGAACCAGGGGTTTGTTTCGCGGAGATCATAAAGAGGGAGGGAGGGAGGAGGGGGGGAAAAAAAAAAGGTCAAGTCTGTTTGGACATAATTACACTTCATCAAAAGAAGCTTTCTTCATCTTCCATGCGTGAAAAGCCTGCAAGCAGTTAGTCTTTTTTTTTAAAGGGGGGGGGGGGGGAGAATGCTTTTTGGGATGAGAGCCAACAGAGAGAGAGAGAGAAAAAAGAAAAACTGCAACAAAAAAAAACAGCTCACCATCTCTTTTCTTATTTCTTTGAACTTCTTTTGAAACGTATTTTTCAGGTACTTTCAGGGACTGAAATGGTTGCATCGTGTGTGTGTGTGTGTGTGTGTGTGTGTGTGAGTGTTTTTTTGGTTAATTCTTTTTATAGAAACAAGAAGGACTTGGCATCCAAGTCGCGTTTTGGAAAACGTTTGCTCTCTCTCTCCCCCTCTCTCCTCTCTCTTCTTTTTTTTTTTGCCAGGATTACTTTTAGCAAAGTGTTGGCTTGTAAGAGAAATCCTTCCGGCCATTAACTGAAGGTCTCTTCCAAGCAGCAAATAGAGAAAGAGAGACAAAACCTCATCCACAAGGGATTAAACTGGTTCGAAAACCTGTCACTTCCTGCATTATTTTTTTTTCCGTTACAGAAGGGTTACAGCAATTTCGACACGTTATAGTGCATCAGAATGTGGACAACCTTTTGCACAATCTTCCACAGACATCTGGGAATACTTCGAAAAGCTCCATCGGCTTCTCTTTTTTTGGAGCTGTCTGACAACAAACTAATGCTCTTTTTCCCTCTCCCTTCCTAAAATGATGCCGATTACCCCCTCCAACCCAACCGTGAAGTGGTTACGAGTAAATACTCACACACTCACTCACACAGTAAAGACCGACAGCCACAGACTGCAGCAATGTCAATGCCAACCCCACAGAGACACCGTGACACTGCTCTGCCAGACAGTCAGACAGACAGACAGTCAGACAGACAGACAGACAGGGGGGCATCATCTGAAGCTGGGTCCAGCCCGAATGAGTTAATAATGATAATAATAATAATAATAGCAATAATCCTGGCTTTTGATACAGCGCCTCATCACGTCTTCAGACACAGTGAACGCAGGAGCTACACGTTACAGTGTTCAGTGTCGGGATAAGAAGTGTAGTATAGTATTGAGGCACTGAGACAGTGCACTTGATCTCTCTCTCACTCACTGAAATAGTGCACTTGATCTCTCACTCACTCACACACTGAGACAGTGCACTTGATCTCTCTCTCTCTCTCTCACACACGCACAGATTGTTTGACAGTGAATGGCCATTATAAAAGTAAAGGGAGTCACCGTACCCCGTCCGCTCCTGCCCACGAAACGCAGATCGTTGAAGCGAGCCACTTGGTTTTTCATCACGGCCGAGGCGTTGCGGAGCTCAGCCGAGTAGTTCTCATCATTGCCGGCCATGACCGTCACCACAGTGCCGTCAGGAACATCCCCCAGAGCTACAACCTGCCGGAGAGGGGAGGGGAGGAGAGGAGACACTCATCGATACCGACCATCAGTGAAGTGCTGAGAGCGGGACAGCTTCACCTTCAGGGGTTTAACCCGATGCTTTTATTTTTTTAAAAAAACCCAATGAGGGATACCGAGCAGTTCGCGATCGGGCTGTGCTCCCCCCGTTCATTGCCATCGTCTCGTTTTACCCTAAACCGGACAGTGCCATTGCAATTCAATTAAAAACAAGTGCTGCAGTCACTGCAGCTCTGCGGGAATGTCCCAGGATCGCACTGCCCAGATATCTCCCCCCGATGATCATCTCTCTCTCTCTCTCTCTCCCTCTCTCTGCAATAAGGGACATTGAAGGATATCGCGGGACAAGTTTATTTGTAAAAGAACCGAAATGTTCTTATGCAAAGCCTCGTGTTACTACCGGGGCTTTGCAGTGACCCCCTGGTTTGCTGCCGATCATATCAATGGCACTTTAAACCCCTTAACCTTCAGTTTATTGAGAGCCGCTGTCGGACTGAGGTGCACCAAAGTGGTGAATAATATGTGGTCCGCGATAACAGGACCGTTTGCTCCCGAGGTGGAAATCCTGCAAACTCACTCACTCACTCACTCACTGCTGTGGTCGAACAGAAGACAGAAGTTCTCAAAAGTGGTAGAAAGAGAACGCAAACTCTTAGGGATCTGTCAGTCACACTTCACCCCAATCAGAAACAATAATGTAACCGGTGCAAACACGACACACATCGCAGGGCTGTTGACTACTGCGCTTATTAATTAATCGATGAATGAATTAATGGATTAATGAATGCGTGTTTGAAGCCCAGGGCTAAAAAACACAAACCACCGCACGCGAGTGTTTCCAGTGATGGGTTTATCTCTTGCGTTTTGCAACCGAAAGCAAAGCTGCGGGTGTGGGTCGGGGGTTATGCCGCTGTTACCTTGAATGCCACGGGCAGCGTCTTGTTACACCTCCAGTGGGACGGCAGGACAGAGCAGAGGAAGTTGGGGCTGTCGGTGCGGACCAGCTCTGCGGGGTGGTCGGCGATGATGTCCACCATACTGCGGTTCTCATGGGGCCGGATCAGCGACCTGCCCAGTGCCGCCGCCGCTGCCGCCGCCGCCGCCGCTCCGGCCACTGCCACTCCGGGCCCCGACTCCTGATGAGGGGCCATCCCGCTCACATCGCTCATCTTCCCCGATGCTGGTAAAGTGGTGGACGGTGGAGTGAAGCGCCGACTTGTGCTCGGATCTACGGGAATACGCATCACAACAGTCTGATTAGGGGCTTTTTGCAACAAAGCCACAAATTGTCAATCTCTCCAATTGGTATTAGTTATTGTCACTGAATCGACTCCAGTCCAATGTGTTTCGCTTCCTTTTTTTCTACTTTTTTTTTCTCTCTTTCCTCCCCCCCCTCTTTCTTTTCTTCTTCTTCTTCTTCTTCGTCTTCTTCTTCTTCTTCTCCTCCTCCCAAAATATATAAAAATGCAATCAAATACGGTTTGATTGTTTCTTCTTCTTCTTCTTCTTCTTCTTCTTCTTCTTCTTCTTCTTCAGTGAAGTCAGTCACTTCCTTACAGATGTAGTACAATGTAATCCCAATGTGCAATGTATCTTTTTTTTGGGGGGGGGGTGGTGTGTGTGGGGGGTAGTTTGGTGTGGAGAGAGGGGGAAGAAGAGAAAAAATTTCTAATCCAAGATGCGGTCGAAGACGATAAAAGAGGGGAAAGAAATGAGAGAGAAAAAGAAAGAGAGAGAGAGAGAGAAAAAGCCACAGTATCCAACTGGTGGTTTTACGGAGGCTGGGATTATAAAGCAAGGTTTGTGGTCATGAAAAAAAGTGAGCGATGATGAGACATCAAACAACACGTGGTGACTGGAGGAGTCATCAACTACTTTAAAAATACACTCTATATTCCCCTGGAAGACGAGAGATCGAGACGGTCAAATTGGCATCTCTCCCCCCCCCCCCACCACCCCAATGCTTCGATTGCTGTCCCCAAATGCATATATATATTTTTGCAGTCTGGCTGATGACTTTGGTAGAGGAGCAGGAGGAGGAGGGCTTGGAGAGTGGTGGTGGTGGTAGTGGGGGGGGGGGTTTCAAGGAGCGGCGGCTGCAGATTACATACTAAAACATTTCCGTGAATGAATGAAAGATATAAAGCGTCCCCCAGAGTAAGGCTTTGCTGCAAAGGTCTCTATTAAAATCATTTACATACCCAATCGTAAAAAGTGCAAACGCCTACTTGTTATGATCTGAGCCTATCAAAAACCCTCTGATCCTTTCTTTAGTTTATTTCCACACAAAAAAAAGTGTCAGGAGGCAGACGTCTTCCAGTTTCTGTTGTGGTTTTTTTTTTAAACCCCCCCCACCCACCCGCAAAAAAAAAGAGAAAAAGAACAGCTGTCTCCTGCCACCAGTTCACATCGATGAGATGTTTTTAAAAAAAATTGCACAAACTGTTAAGTCATTTCTAAATGCAATACACCGCCTGAACCTTAACGTGCGCAACAGAGCTACTGTGTGTTAATTTAATTTTAAAAATACTCTCCAGGAGCCGGACTGAGTTTGGAGCAAAACTTAACCGAGTTTCAGACTCTTGCTGATTGCTGTAAATTAGTGGTAAACCTAAACGATAACTTTCAGGCGTACAAAAGCTTCTTGAATTGAGAGTGAGGAAGCAATTATTTAACCAGTCAGTAATCTGGCACACGTTTCGCTCTTGTTAAGTCAACTTCAAACGACATGTTCTTTTCAGATGTATTCATCAAAGGGACATGATATACTGCAAATCACGTAATGGCCAAACGTTGTGTTAGATGCGTTTATTCAACTTAAATGGGGACCACCAACAATTGGGATATTACACTTGCGGTCAAGTGCAACGACGTGCGGCCCCCGACAGCTCGCGACGTTGGCATTGACAGTGGCGCATCCCCCAATACGAGGACACACAGCTATTTTGTTTCAGTGACGGGAGACGAACACAATTAAACCGCGGATGACGGAAGACGTTTCAGAAAGTCGATGCCGGGAAAGCGCCGCGCAGGACGGTGCGGGGAGGAAAAGCTACGCGTGCAAACGGGTGACTCGTTGAATGCAGAGTCTGTTTCCCAAAGTAAAGCGACCGTCGGTGGATCGCCAGTGGGTTGCGAACTGTGCGTGTTCCTCACTGCGCGTGTTCCTCACTGCGTGCGGGCAATGGCTGGAAGGCTTAAGCAATCATCTGAGGGTGACGGCACTAACATTGGGGGATGTGCCACAGCAGCTCCGCCCGCGCACTGCCCCCCACCCCCCCCAGCGCCGGCTCTGGGGCATCTGCCGCCTGTGCCACCGACGCTCTATTTATAGCTCTGCCGCGCAGGCGCCCTGAACCTCAGCGAAGCCCTGTGACGGACGTTAGAATCGTCCAATCGCCGAGCGAGAGCGCTCCACACAGCCTTCCGAACCGTGAAAGCCAATCTGCGCGTGCGTGCTCCCGGCCCGCAGCGTGGGGTGGGCGGGGCCGGCCGCGGCGCGTCGATTCCCCAGGCGCCCGCCCGTCTCTTCTCGGCCGTGACGTTGGGAAATCCCTGTCGTCACCGCCGAAACGGCCCCCGCGTGGCATCTTGGGAGTTGCGGTTCCGTTCCTTCTCTTGAGCTATCGGGTGGCGCGCGGGCGGAGAACTACGGATCCCAGGAGCGCCCTGCGCGGGGGGGGGGGGGAACGTGCGCACGCGCAGATCCTCCGGCAGCCGCCCCCCCCCCCCCCCACACACAGTGTGGAGTGTGGCGACGCGCGTGGAAGTGCGGCGGGAAGCGAAGCGGCGGCGGCGTTGTGACCCCCCGAGGGCACGAGAGAGAGAGAGAGAGAGCGCCGCGCGGCACTGGCGGGGAGTTTATTATTATTATTTTTTTAAAAAACCAACGGTGAGTAAAACAATATATATTTATTTATATTTGCCCTCTCCCCCCCTCTCCCCTCTCCCCCCCCACCACCACCACCCGCCCCTCTGCCCCTTAATTCATTCACAGGCGAATGGCAAAAGCAATTGTTGGCGATGCGGTTGTGTCCGCGGCCCTGACATTTGCTGTTCCGCCTCTCGGGTTCACTTTGTGTTTCTCTCTGTGTGCCCTCTCCCCCCTCTCCCCCCCAACCTCTCCCCTCTCCCCCTCCCCCTCTCCCCCCCCCACCCCTCCCCCCTCTCCCCCCTCTCCCCTCCACTCCCCCCACCTCTCCCCCCCCCCCTCTCCCCCTCCTCCCCTCCTCCCCCCCACCTCTCCCCTCCTCCCCCCCCTCTCCTCCTCCCCCCCACTCCCCCCCACCTCTCCCCCCTCTCCCCTCCACTCCCCCCCACTCCCCCCCCCCTCTCCCCCCCACTCCCCTCCTCCCCCCACCTCTCCCCTCCCCCCCCAACCTCTCCCCTCCTCCCCCCACTCCCCCCCCACCTCTCCCCCCTCTCCCCTCCACTCCCCCCCCTCCCCCTCCCCCCCTCCCCCCCACTCCCCTCCCTCCCCCCCACCTCTCCCTCCTCCCCCCCAACCTCTCCCCTCCTCCCCCCCACTCCCCCCCACCTCTCCCCCCTCTCCCCTCCACTCCCCCCACCTCTCCCCTCCCCTCTCCCCCTCCCCCCACTCCCCCCCACCTCTCCCCTCCTCTCCCCCCACCTCTCCCCCTCACCCCCCACCTCTCCCCCTCACCCCCCCACTCCCCTCCTCCCACCTCTCCCCCTCCTCCCCCCCACTCCCTCCTCCCCCCCTCCCCCACCGCTCCCCCCACCTCTCCCCCCACTCCCCCCACTCCCCCCACCTCTCCCCCTCCTCTCCCCCTCTCCCCCCACTCTTCCACTCCCCCTCTCCCCCCTCCTCTCCCCCACTCCCCCCCTCCTCTCCCCCTCCCCCACTCCCCCCCTTTTTCTCTGCACTCTCTCTCTCTTTCCCTTTTGCACGCACTTTGCAAGACGCGGCGCGGTGTTAAAGCAGCGGTCAGTCAGTCTGCAGTGAGCGGCGCGGCGTTGCCTTCCCCATATTTTTCACCCTTCACTGCTTTTCTTTTTTTAAAAAAAAAATCACACCTTCCGCGTGTCAGCGCCAAGGCGGGGAGTTGGTCAGAGAATCGCTCCTGAGCCGCAGCACATCACACGGGGATTAAACCCCGCACCTGATCCGGAGGTCCACGTGCTTCAGACCCACTCTGGTGTCCTCTCTTTAATAGTCGCTTTCCTCAGAGACCGACTCTGCGGTGAGCACAACTGAGCTGAGGTGTGAGGAAGCCTGGGTTTGGCTGCCAGGCTCTGCTGTGGGACCAGACCCGCAGCTCTCAGGTGTGAAAGACCGATGGAGCTTCGCTCAAAAATATACCACAACGATTTGCACTCATACAGAGCCCTCCACGCAGGGTCGTGTCTCAGGCGGTTCACTTTCTGTCAAGTGCTTTGAGATGTCCAGAAGACGTGATAAGGCACCATCTCAAATGCAAGCCGTGTTGTTATAAATTTCTTCTCCCTCTCTGCAAGGAAGTACAGTACTTTGCATCTGTCAGTTGCCTCCCATTTGATGGCCAGGTTGGTTGAAACCTTGAACTTCCCTATCCACAGGGGGATATCTTAACAGCAAATTGAGGACCTGTCTTGTTGTGCAGCAGATTGATATCTATTTTGCTGCTGAAAACCTATAGTTTTCATGTTGTGGCATAAATATTAATTGTTTATTTTTTTTATTCCTAAGTAACTTCCTTGCTGCTGTATCGTACAGGAAGGCAGGCATTCCCAGCCTGTGGATGTTTTCGTGGATGCTGTCATTGCTGCTCTTTGCCAGGAGATTCGTTTGGTGTGAGAAGAGACTCTTTTGCTCGTTTTTCTCCTCACCCACAAGATGACAGGACTAATCAGTCACCGTGTAGGACAACTACAACAACAAATTATTATTTATAGCGCCTTGTATAATGACGGAAGGACGTCCCAAAATGCTGGACAGTCAAGGATGTGCACCCGAGCTGGGGAGTTGGGATCAGGAGGGGTGGAGGGTAGGAGGGTGACCGAAGGTGAGGTCGAAGAGGAATGTCTTGAGATGGGCCTTGAAGGAGGCAAGGGAGAGGGCAATGCGAATGGACTGTGGGATGGAGTTCCAAAGGGTGGGAACAGAGAGGCTGAAGGCCCGACTGCTGATGGTGGGGTGGGCAGGGAGTGGGACGTGAAGCAGGCCAGATTCTGCTGAGTAGAGGGAGCAAGACAGGTTGATTGGAGTTAGCAGATTGCAGAAGTAGGAAGGAGCAAGGCTGTTGAGGGTTTTAAAAGCAAGGACGAGAATTTTGAACTCGATCCTTTGGGGGCTGGGGGAGGCAGTGGAATGAGGCTAGGGATGATAGGGCATGGAGCCTGGTACGGGAGAGGACCCGTGCTGCAGAGTTCTGAATAATCTGCATCTTGAGGGAAGAGATGGGAAGACCAGCAAGCAGGGTGTTAGCGTAATCGAGCCTGGATGTGATGAATGCATGGATGAGTGTCTTGGCAGCCTGAATGGAGAGG